AGCCCCTTCACCAAATACACCACCACGATCAACCAGGCCATGCCCTACAACTATCCAGTGCCCCTCTGAGATGATGGGAACATGCCCGACGTGCCCAGCCATCCCCAGGACCCCCAGGGCCCAAGCTGGGAGTGACCAAAGAACTTGTGAGCACCCCCAGTGACATGGAGGAGGCCCCTCCCCTGAGCCAATAAAATGCGAGAAGCGAAAAAAAAAAAAAGAAAGGGGGAGCCTGACGGGGCACCGGGGTGGCTCAGTTGGTTAAGCGCCCGACTCCTGGTTTTGGCTCAGGTCACGGTTATCAGGGGTTGTGGGATGGAGCCCCAATTGGGACTCCGTGTTCAGCAGGGGGTCTGCTTGAAGATTCTCTCCCTCTGCTCCCCCCACTCTCTCTAAAATAAATAAATAAACCTTAAAAAAAATAAAATAAATAAATAAACCTTAAAAAAAAAAAGAAGGAAAGAAAGAAAGGGGGAGTCTGAGCTTGCAAAAGCATGTCTTAGGTGGATGCACCAGAGCTGATTCCACAGCTTCGTGCAGTACCGAGCCCGACGAGTCGCCCTTCCCACAGCACCCAGAACCTGGTTCTCCAAACAGCCGCCTGCCAGTGCTGGGTGACAGACGCAAGAAGGGATGTCATCCATCACTTCGTCTGGCACAACTCTGTCCGGAGCCAGCAAGATTGGTCAGGCTGGCTGTCGGAAGGCTTCTGGAGACGCTCCCTGGCCCCAGGCCTGTTTTGTGTTTCTGGGTTGAGAGGTTACCTCCACTTTCCTCACTTAGAGACCCAGGCCCGCGTACGAGCTTGTGAAGAGGGGCTGCAGGCTTCCTGCCATCTTGTCCCAAAATGACAGGGGAGGACCCTATGTATCCAAGCTGCGTGAGCTGCCCCGTCTGAGGCACGCAGTCCCAAGTCGAAGAAACGGAGGCCAGGTTTGACATTAGGGTTCCACACGGCATAGTGTCCGTGGGGCTCTTGGGGCCAGCCGGCAACTTTGCTGACCTGCCGTGTCACTGTCGGAAGCTCACTTTCCCACACACCGTCCCCTCCACGTATCACTACGGGCCCCGGCAATCCGTTCTGTCCGCCAGCAGAGAGCGTGGGGGTGTCTCTCCCCTCGTGCGGGGCAAACGGCTGAACAGCTGGTTCTAGCAAACTCCTCTGTAACCGTCCTTCCAGTTCTGCCGAAGCAGCCCTGCTCCCCGCTGCCCCCCCCCGGCTCCCCGTCCACAGCGGGGCAGCGGGCGCATCAGAACCCACTGGCCGGACGGCGCTCGGCGGCCAGGAAACACAGGCCCAGAGCTGCCGGTTCTCCCAGCAGTGCTGGCCCCACGGCCTCACACGGACGGGAGAGGGGGCAAGAGGCTTCTCCAAAGAACAGACACAACAACACGAAGTCATTTGGAAAGGGACATGTCTGTCTGCACGACGACCCGGCAACAAGACCCTCCTGACTGGGCGCCATGACATTACTCTGACACGGTGACACGGAGCATGGCTCCACAGTTTCAAGGACAGCGCAGCCTAAAACTTCCAGCTGATCGGACAGGAGAAAGAAGCTGTCTGACGTATGAAGTGGGTCAGCCGAAAGGAGTGATGCGGAAGGAAAGAGGTCAGCCTGGGGTCTGCTCCCTCCTCGTCCCGTCTGGTTGACTGAGACTCATCCTTTGTGGTAAGCCAAGAGCCACAGGTCAGAAGACTCTTCTGGAACGTCACCACGCTTGGACACAGAGAAGGTCTGAAACAAGGGGCCCACGTTTTCTCTTGGATGGTCCTAAGTTTACTTCAAGGGCATCACACTCAGACGGAGGCTTCCAGAACTCTGTTCAGCACCAGACAAGGTCTCATTCCAAAATCAACTCAGAAGAGCTATCCTTAATTGTGTGTCCACAGAAGAGGGGCGAGCGGACGCCTAGCAAGCATGACATTTACTGGACGCTCTCTCCGAGCCAGCTTTGTGCTGAGAGCTCTCACTTGTCACAAGACGTGTTTATTCAACAACCATTGAGCCTCTGTCATGTGCCAAACACCAATACAGACACCGGCACGCAAAAATGAGCCGAAGAGTCAAAATCCTGGCTTCCACTGACCTCGCATTCTCGTCGAGGTTGATAAAAACAAATATATCTGTCCGCCAGTGATAAATACGATGAAGTAAAAGAACGCAGACGAAGGGAATGCTATATAAAACTCCCATAGAAATAAAGCGGGGGAAGCGGTGCTATTTCAGATGCAGCGGCGCTGGAAGGCATCTCTGACTGCCATCTGATGACAGGAGCAGCAAAACGTCCCCATGTGCCAGCCACCAGACCAAAGACTCCCCAGGCAGGACTCGCTGAGTCCACAGCCCCTCTGAGATACCCCCACACAGAGCCGGGACGAAGGGCTCTCTGCAGAATACGGACACAGTTACACAGTGAGTGACAAAGCCGGGACTTGAACTCAGAAGTCCGCAGCCCCGTGCTACTGGGCTGGGGGAGAAATGGAGCCTCAGAGGTCAAGTGCGCCCGTGCTCACAAAGCGGCAGGCCCACTGGCCTTTCCACACGGGGCTAGGAGCTCAGTGCCATTCAATCTGGCCCCCTGTGTGACTATTACTCTCATTACCAGCTGAAAACCAAACCTTCTCCTGAAACAAGAGAAAGAACGTGGGCTGGGCAAGGCCAGCTAATAAGTGAACGTGTTTGTCTCTCATCCCCCCGCGCTCAGGCCCCCAACACAAGATGCTGTAGGAGAGGGAAACAGGCTCTGCGAATTCTCCAGGCTGCCGGTTCCCACTGGAGAACAGACAGGGGCAGAACAGGAGATGAGTGAGCCACCGCTCCACAGGGCCACAGCGGCCTTGGAGGTGGAGCAGAGGGGACAGGCACTGAGAAAAGGTCAACAGCAAGGAGAAAGGAGGCCCTCCCTAGCCCCGTTTCAAAGAAAGCACAGCCCTCCCTCCTGCCCGGGGGGTGGGGTGAGGGGAAGGGGAGTGCTTCCTCGAGAAGCAGGAGGCAGGAAAGACAGATGCTCCGGGAGGAGGTCTGAGGCCTCTCCAGACCTCTCCAGACTGGAGGGAGAGGAGAATGAGGCAGGAGGCTAACACTGCTTCTAGCAGAGAAGTCCAGGAAGGAAATACCACAGCCAAGGTCAGAGGCTGTTTGCAGAATTGCTGGAAATCCCAGGTTGGGAAGTCCGGGTGAGAGGGGAGGTTTCAAGGAAAAGAGAGGCCCGAGCAGAGTTCCACAGGGTTTCACCCAAAGGTCACGGTTTGGACCCTCCCGTTTTTTTATTGTATGTCAGCCACCACAGCCACCGGGACCTGTGACCAGGGTTAATCAACAACCAAGGTGGGAAGGGAAGATGGGGGTTCATCCTAGAGCAGAACATATTAAGGGGAGCCTGGAATTCCATCGTATTATACCCCACCAGACCTCTGCCCGCCAGCACGGGCGCGCGCGCGCGCGCACACACACACACACACACACACACACAATGAAATTCAACGCTGAGTCTCCCTCCGCAGCAACCTATCACCTTATCTCCAGCAAGCCAGGTCTCCTAGCCCGACATTGCACCAAACAAATTATGACCTGAATGGCAAGAAAAACTGTGTCACCTAGAGAAACCCAATTAGCGACATGACTCTGCTCTCCTCCATTCCCCCCTCCAGGCGTATCCGGGGCACCTGTGTGGCTGACCGCCTTTTCCCACGACTGGCCGCGTTCCCTGGCTAGCTCCAAAGCCACACCGTTGACACAGGGGCCTTGGGAGAAGCCAACCCACAGCCGGGAAATGCTACTGCCCCCCACACCTTGGCCTGTGGAGGAAGCGCGAGGGACACAGCATAAACACACCACCTGGGGGGACAGTCCGCGGGACGATCACCTTGAAATCACTAAGTTGCTCCTTAAGCCGGCACTCCTTGCTGAACACAAATGCTCCCGAGAGCTCCCAAATGGGGGCGTGCACGTGCCCCAGAAGGGACAATAAATAGGTATTTCGAAGAAATTCCTGCTGTGGTGGCTTCCTCTGGTCCCCTCTCCTAATGAGCCCCTCCCCTGAGAGATCTCCATCACCTGGGGGGGGCCCTCCTCCCACCCCGGCTGCTTTTGCAGCCTCCCCACGGACCACATGTTCTGGGTGAGTCCGTACACATAAACATCCTTTCCGCGGCCCGTGCCAGGGCTTCGGGAGAGACCCAGCGCACCCCCTCCCCCCTGCACTGGTGTCGGCTCCAGCCCCACACCGCTGCAGAGTTGGTCATGCAATAGGCAGGGACCCTGAGACCGGAAATGCCTGGTTCTGGACTGCTGCACTTGAAACACGAGAGGAGGCAGAGGGAGAGCGGAGCCCGGGGACGAGGGCGACCGCAGGAGGCGCGGGGTGCAGAGGGGCAGGCTGAAATTCCGGCCAGGGGAGAGGTGCAATCCAGGGGTGGGCGAGGAGGGGGAGGCTGTCAAGGCAGTGGCAAAGTCAAAACCCGAGGCGCCGAGAGAGGGGAGGGGAGGGGGGAGGAGGGGGAGGAGGGGGAGGAGGGGGAGGAGGGGGAGGAG